AGCCTCGATCCTGTGTATCAATCCGTGAATCCGTGAAGTGCTTCCTATAACCTCTCGACTGAGCAGTGCTACACCCTTTTTTCACTTGTGCCTTTCAGGTGAACGACAGCCACTGACCGACAAGAACAAAACCGACCCGGGAGACTTGGGCAATAGCCTCGATCCTGTGTATCAATCCGTGAATCCGTGAATCCGTGAAGTGCTTCCTATAACCTCTCGACTGAGCAGTGCTACACCCTTTTTTCACTTGTGCCTTTCAGGTGAACGACAGCCACTGACCGACAAGAACAAAACCGACCCGGGAAACTTGGGCAAAAGCCTCGATCCTGTGTATCAATGCGTGAATTCGTGAACCGCGTTTGGAGTTTGAAATTTCTGCCCAATTGTGGATTAAATCATAGGTCAACACACATTGGTCGCTATGACCCAGGGGAGCGTCAATTGTTACCTGATCGACGAAGTGTCTTTCGCTGGTGATGAGCAAATCCAGGAGGGTTGGTAGTTGGCCTGCGGGTATCTGGTGTCGGGATTGGTAGGGCTACATGTCTCTTGTTATGGTAGGAAACTTGTCTGGCATGTTCAAGAAGTGATCCGACGTAGGCTCAATGAAGTGGCTGAAGTAAAACGATGGAATATGAGCGGAATCATCCATAGGGGAACGAATGCCTTCTGAGTGCCTTCATGGTGAGGTTGGAATAACGAGTTTGAAGAGTGGCGGACACCTAAATCCTTTTTGGTATCTATCCTCGTAATTTCTTCTGGTCCATTCTCACCACGAACGGTAAACGCGTTCGCTGAGTCTCCTTTGAATGAAATATGGACATACATTTCGTCTTTCAGAGGAATGTGGCAGTCCAACGACCTCTGCCTTGCATCATCCATTTGGAGGGCGCTGGCGTCGGAACCCCAAGAATTCAAGTCGTCCGCAAAAGGTGGACGTGGACTTGAAATAGCACCAGGAGGGTCGTTGACGTAGATCACAAACGCAAGCGGTCCAAAAACAGAGCGTTGAAATGGCCCGCTTCAGAGTGCGCTCCATTAACTCGCACGGCACACTAGTGAGGCCAATGGACTTATAGCTGCCACGGGACAGGCGATAAGAGCTTTGTGGAATGGCGTGAAAATCGCATCCGTTTACTTACTCGAGCAGCTAAAAAACACCAGGAGAAAGAGCTTTGCCAGTGTGGGCAACTTTTTCTCCTAGATCCTTGAATGAGGCTCGTTTAGCCCCAACACACTGAGGGGGTTTGTGTTGTGCAAAAGTTGATGAACATGCTCCCTCGTGAAGACCGTGTTGGGTAGAGGCTAATAGTAGTTAAGTCTTGACAGGATTGAATGTAGCAAAGTTGCTGGGACAGAATGCAGGCCTGTACAGTTTTTTGTGTATGCTTCAAATGGAACTATTTTTTCACTGTTGAGTTTCACGTTCCTGTTCCTCAAAGACAAGACGGTTGACCCGTTTCCTTGGATGTCCCACGCAATTAACTTGTACTTTTTTGTTTTTCCGGGTAAGACCTAGTATCGTAGCCTGTTTTTGTATGTTATATCATCGGGATTTCGACTTACAGTGGCTCCACATTTTACGAAATACCGCCTTGTTTCTTGTGCCGCCTACAGTTATTTTTTTAAAAAAGGACTGGGACCTGGTTTCCAGAAAACACCGAATCATTTTGGGTAAGTTTTGTCCGCTTGATTGAGCACTGGTTTCTTCGGGAAGAACACATCAGCCCCGTGAATTTTCTGGAAAGTAATCGTGTATATCCACTATTCTGAAGCTAGCATCGGTTTAAGTTGGTCAAAGAAGATTCTCATCTATGAGAAGTCTGCAGAGCAAATGTTCTGGATCCACTTTTAAGGTCCCAGGTCGCTGGCCCAGTATCAAATGAAACCAAAGGTCAATCACATTAGCCACTATGTAGTTGGCCTGCATGGCATCTTGGAAGTGCATCGGCGTATTGAGTCTAAGCTCCGTGTTGAAATACTTTGTTCTGAAGCGACGCAAAACGCCCAATAGACCCGATGCGCTGGACCTCCATCCAGTATTTGGGGGCGCTATGATCGCATACCAACAAGCGTTGAGTGAAATGGTAGCTGGGGGTTGTTGGAGGGTTTTCCAGTGAATCTGAGATGCAACGGTAGACGACGCTGAGAAGAGAATCAATCCCGCGCAGGGTGATTTGAATCAGTGCCGCTTTACAAAGGAGTGCGGTTTTTTCCGAGGGACAAGCAGGGTCGCATGTGGGTATGCAGCACCCACACCTGCCCTTGCCCGTTTCCTTTCGGCTGGTAAAGTAGAGCAGTGATCTGTCGTGATCTCTGTGTCAGAGACATCTGGAGTTCGCAAGACTTCTGTCACTAGTATTTTGAACGGTTGTTAAAGGCAAGCAGATTGTTGAGCATTACAAATATTGTTGAACGAATATGGCTGTGAACAGGCACTTCGACGACATCCATCTTGCGTCCAGGAGTGGGGAGCAGAAGTATTATGTCATGCAGGATAGCAGGTCTAATAGCTGCGCACCGGGTTTATTCCAAGGCTTCGAATGTGTACCTGCGTCATACTTTTCCTCTTCCTGCATTGATATTTCCCAGAACAGCTGTTGGTATGCGGGGAATTTGTCCCCGAATAGATGGGTGCTAGTAACTTCCTGTCCTTAACCACAAGGCCAGCTGCTCAACTTGACTGAACATTTTCGCCCTCTGCTGCATATCCACTCTAAGTGCCTCAAAAAGCCTCTTCAAATTTCGCCCCCTACGAGCACCGTTCCATCGATCGCCGCATGTCGGAACACCACAAAAGCACCCGAGTGCAGCATCCAGGATATATTTAGCTCGAACTTTT